CGTATTTTCTCTGTCTCCCAACGTCCTGTAAATGCTTGTATCAGGCACGTGGATTACAACACGTCCTATTGTGCACACTTTGATTCGTTCATTTACGTAACAGGCGCAAGCGATTGAAACAAATAAAAAATATTTAATGCGTTCTGCGTATTTCAAATTTATAACGATTGGAGGGACGTCGACCCTGACAATGACAAATGCACAAACGCTCAAATTTGTCCAAACAAGCACGGAGAGAGAGAGGAGAGATGCGTGCTCGGAATTCCCGCTGAGAGATGGGAAGAGGTGCGCGCGGATCAAGGGACAAACGCAAATCAGGGACGTCGTGTTTTACCGTCAAGGAATGTCGACGCAGGGGAGGCCCGGACCTGGTTAAGATATTCTCCACTGATGTTGGCCGTGAGTGGAAATCGTCATCGGAATGCCAGGTTCGCAGCGCGGAAGCGCTCGCCACACACTCCCCCCAGACAAAGATCACCTCCTCTACAGCCTTAACAGACTGTTGGGGCAAGTGCTGCTTAGCGAGCAACACCTTTGAAGGCCGGCATGGCACACGTAGAATGCGGTTGGCCAACACGGCGAGCTCTACAGGATGATGATGGCCCAATGGACGAGACGAGTGATGGATTGGCTGCCAATGGGGCGAACACAGCGGAGATGTCGAAGGGGTATGGCAGATGGGATCGGCTCGCGCGCAGGAGCGAGATGAATTGCGGCATCGCGGCACCGTGAGGGATGACGACGGCGTGGAGAAGCCTTCATCGAGCGGTGGATAGAACGCGGTGCTGCCGATTACGCTTGCTGATGCGTTGCTTAACATGCGTCAGCCACATGTTAGAATGTGTTTCTACACTGCCCTCTGCTGCCCGTAACGTAGCCCAGCAGCAGCCTTACACACCTGGTTTATCTTCGGTGGTGGCCCATCCAAATACACTCGTTGGGTCTTTCGGTAGTCACGTAGAAAGACCCAAAGAGTATGAATTCCTGCAGTCATGAAAGCTTTCCAGGCGTAAATCCGCTTAGCTTCCGAGATGTGACGATATCGGGCGAATGTTGAGTGATTGGGAGGCACCTACGTAATGTTGATCGACCAGCGTGGGAGTAAGCAAAGCCGGAGGCTGCTCATGAGACAATGAATATCGAAACCGGTGCAGAGTTTTGTTTCTATTGATCCAAATGCTGATGAGAAAGTGCACTCCTAGAAGACTGTTGAGCCGATGGGGATGCGGAAATTTTTTTGTAAAAAATGTATGTTTTTATTTGGAGAAATAATGATTGGAAGGAGGCATCGTTCTGTTTGAGTATTTATTTTTTATGAGTTCGAGGGTTTCATTTGGGGCTGAAGCGTCTCGCTCGGCTCCTATGCTGATGTCCACAGAGCACGGTGCGTGCCTTCATTTAGCGAAGGACATCCGAGTGGACGCGTGCACACGGGAACGTAAATATGGAGAAGACAACGTCAATCTGCCACTGTGGCACCCCTTTAGTTGCGGGAAGGATTTTGGTGTTTATCTTTGGAGGAACGTTTGCATAGCGTGCAATCGGCGCGGATGCGCGAGACGTTTCGGTCTCGCCTTGCGCGTGATAGCAGCGGTATGTTCAGGAGACAAATGCCCAATGTCGAGTTCTGCCAGTCACGACGAGAGGGCTTCAGGTGAGAGTTCGTGTTGTGTTGCTATTTCGTCATTGAAGGGACGCAGACTGCAGTGGTTAATAACATGCCCATTGGCTTACATTGCCCGTAGACAAACACTGCCCGTAGACTAACATTGACCAGAGGCTAGTCTTATTCTTGCGGATAGCAACAATATATTCAGGAGCTAAATGCCAATGTGGAGGTCTGCTCGCCACGACGAGAGGGCTTTAGGAGGGAGTGTAGTTCTGCTGTTCCTCCAACACTAAAGGAACAAAGACCACAGTGCTATGGGAACCTCATTTGCCAGTAAAAATATGATAATTGTTTTTTTTACCCTTCTATCTGGCAACAAAACTGACACCTTTTTACAAGGAGTCATGTTTGCATAGACCGCAATACCTGCAGTCATAATACAAACAAAAGACATAACTCTGATAATGTGCACTGTCCTGTCTTTTGTTTGTATTATGACTGCAGGTATTGCGGTCTATGCAAACATGACTCCTTGTAAAAAGGTGTCAGTTTTGTTGCCAGATAGAAGGGTAAAAAACCAATTATCAAAGACCACAGTGGTTTACTCTATTGTTGTTCATATCGATGGGAAATGGAATGGACGTTGTTGATTCGAATCCAGATGACGTCGTACAAACGATACAATTAACAACACAAATGATAATCTGCGCTGCTTTACATTTGCCTGGGCGAAAATTGGGCGACATTTTTTGCCTAATCCTGGCGAGCTGGCTGAAAAATAACTTAATAAATAAACAATATCATCAATAGATATCTCGGCTCGGAATACCATGCACGAGGTGGGTTGTAAAGTACGTTTAAGACTAAGTTATCACGACACACAACACTAGAAGTGACAGTGGATTGGGGAGACCATCTATTATCCGACAGCGGATGGACCGTGGCTAATGATGACGAGGATGAGCATGTGTATGACTTTTTATTCAACGCTCGTTAGGTGATGGTGAGTTGTGTGAGTGTTGTAAAAAACGCGAATACGCTAATAATGTTTTGGGCTATAGAGCTTAGATTCAACACAATCATAACGAGAAAAAATAAAAAATAAATTTATTGGGCCATCCAAATATGACTTGCCGGTGAGTTGAATGTGTTTACTGCAAGGGCAGTGAGCCCGGATAAAAAAGACATCGTTGAAAGCATTGTTCTTGACACTGCAACGCAGACAATCTGAGTCATCGATAAATCAAATATTTGGTGGAAACTAAATATTGAATATATTTTATGAGCAACGAGTCGAATTTAACAGCGGCATGATGTACACGTGTACGTGTGTGATGCTTGTACATGTGTGACGTTACGTCTAATGATGATGATGATTGTGATACTATTTGTGCGGAGCGGTAGTGCAGCGGTTTGCGCGTTGTGGTTCCATCCCGGCGTCCCGAGTTCAATTCCCGCTCACGGCCAACACCGGTGACGATAGAGCGATAGAGTGGGTGAAGGAGTGATAGCAAGAGAGCAATAAAGAGTGGTGGTGAGAAAGAGAGAGAGTGATAGTGAGAGCGTGAGTAAGAGTGAAAGTGTGATAGTGATAGGGTGGGTCAGTAAAGTGTGGGAGTGAAAGAGTGAGAGAGTGGGAGAAAGAGAGGGCGAGTGAGAGAGATAGCGAGATCGTGAGATAGAAGGCAAGTTGGAGAGTAAGTGAGAGCGAACGAGAGAGTTACGGAATGATAGTGAGCGAGAGTTACTTGGAAGATAGAGTGAGTGAGACAGGACGACAGTGAGTGGGGGCTAGCGTGAGAGAGAGAGAGAGACAGAGTGCGATGAGTGTGTGAGAGAGCGTGTGAGATAGAGAGTGTGTGAGAGAGTGTCAGAGAGAGTGAGAGAGAGGGGGGAGCTTTTGTGTCGAGAGGACGAACTTTGGGCTGTGTCCCGCGTTCTGACTGACAGATCGCCGGCCGGGCAGCGGGTCCGCTGGGTGTGACGCCTGTCACTCAACCTCGCCTCGACACGTGACCTTTCCCCCCCTCCCAGCTCCCCTCCGGCACCATTCATCTCTGCCCAAGAGCCACACGCGGAGGGCCTCGGGGCCCCGTAATAACCCAATTAGGTAATGGTCGTTCACTCACGAAACCCGCCCCCGCAAAGACCGCAGCACAAAGAAGAGAGCCGCGTGGCTCCCGCACCCGACGACGAGTCGGGAATGCGAGCGACTCGAGCGAGCGCGGGGCGAGTCTCGTCGAGTTTATGTCGCTCTCGCATCGTCCCCACTCACTCACTCACTCGTCGAGGCACTCTTCACTCGGTCTGCGTCTCTCTCTCTCTCGCCGGGGTTACCGGCAGAACCAGGGAGGCTCAAACTGCACGCCTCGCACTCGCACCCGCCACGCTCGCTTGAATTGGCGCATTGTCCGACCCTCTCAATGGTCTTATAGGGGGGGGATGATTGTCCGATCGGCGGAAAGAAAGGGGCGATGTTCTGACAATGGAATAACTGGCCCGCAACTCGCCCCTCCTTCCCTTGTGCGATCGCCTTAAACGCATTCATTGTTTTTTTTTGAGTGGCCAAAGTCTATAAATAATTAAATAACGGCGATTTTGCCGACGTCCCCCAATTTTTTTGTCTCGTGCGCCACTTTTGTAATGTTTATATAGGTGCCTCTTGAGAAAAAAAAAATCTGACATGAAGAAAGGGTCATTGCCCGAAACGTCGCATATTGTGCATTAGATATGCATCTTAGTGCAGTGTCATTCACGGATGTGTTGAGTTGTAGGTGGCGGCGGCGGGGGGCGGACGGTCTCGTGGTTTCCATCCACGCGCGGCCGTGGAGTTGTCGCACTCGGAGACCTTCTGGCGGTGGTCGTGGTTGTGAAAGAGACGCGCGCGCTGGCGAACTCTGCGAGTGAGTCGATCTCGCTGCGCGGTGCACGCCTCCACGTCTACCTGCCCCTGCTGCTGCCGCCGCTGCTGCTGCCCGGGCCTCTCCTCCACACACGCCGAGTCGCTGTTGGGGTGGAGGGGACGGCGGGGAGAGGTGGAATCGCGGGAAGCGGAGCTCCCTTCGCGCGCGTAAGACAAAAAAGAAGCAGAAAGCGCCTTGAAATATTCGCCTCTATTTCCGATCTATAGTTTGTCACGCGGAGCGGACGCGCGCGTCGTGGGGGGGTAGGGGGGTGGGTGGAGGTGGGGGGGGGGCAGTGTTTGGGAGAGTGGGGGGGGGTCCAGTCGGTGTGGGGACGGGTGGTGTAGTGGAGGGGGGGGGGGCTCGGGTAGGGAAGAGAGGGAGGGAGAAGGGCGGGATACTGCCTTGGCGTTAGGCGCTTGCTCTCGCAGAGTTGGCCTATTATTCAGTCAATCAAAAGGCGGATGATCATAGGAGCCGGCATCATCGCCGCTCGCACTCCTCCTGACCGCGCACAGCGGCCGCGCCGAGGCCTCATCGCTCGCCACCGTTTCCGCGCCGCGTGTGCAGCAGTAGCAGCAGCAGCAGCAGAAGCCCCTGCAGGGTTTGCCCGCCGTGCCCCCGACCGCATCGCCAGTGCTGTGCTGAGCGCGGTGTCGACCACGCTTCGTGGCCCGGCGAAGATTCCAAATCACCGCTCTCTCTCGCCGCTTTCTCTCTCTCTCTCACTGCTCGGCAGCGCCGGACCGCTCGCGCTGTGTCTGCCCTCTGTTTTCCATCACGACTAAACCCCGCTCTCAGCTCTCTCTCTCTCTCTCGCTCTTTAATTTATCCGCCTCTCTCATTCTCACTCTCTCGCTCGCTCTCTCCGCCAACTCTGCCCGCTCACGCTTGCCCGCGCGCGCTCTCTCTCTCGGTCTATTTGTCACACGCGCGCACGCACGCACAGCCCTCGTTATCTCCGTGTCTCGGGCTCTGCCTGCGATTTGGCTCACGGACCCGCGGGGAACTCGGCTCAATCTCATCGCGGCGAGCGAATCGGCGGGCCCATGCCCCGTGAGTAAGGGGCGCCTGCGCGGTGGGACATGGAAGACGAAAGCGCCAAGGGGCAGGGACAACAGCAACATCACCAGCAGCAGCAACATCAGCATCAGCAACATCATCATCATCATCAGCAGCAGGGTCGGTCGAGCACTGCAGCGAAAGCAAGGCGAGAAGAGGCGGGATCCTCACCCGACCTGCCGCCTTCTGGCCAGGACTGCGCCAAGGACGGGTCTTCGGATCCCACCGGTCCCGACTACTGCCGCAGGATCCTTGTGCGAGGTACGGGGTTGGTTGTGGTGGTTGTGGTGGTGGTGGTAGGGGGTGGGAGGGGGATAATGGGGGGGAGGGTGACTTCGCCTGGGCATCAACGCGTTCCCTCCAGCACTTTAGTCGAATCTCAAGTTCAAACTGCAGCGTCTATTCATTCTTTTCACGCACACACACACGCGTACACGCTCGCACAGCAGCTGACGTGCGCCGCTAAGTGGCGGTGACGTCGTCGCGGCGCTTGTGCCAGGCTAGGTGCACCTTGAGGCCCTCACGTGAAATGTATATGTATCGCTGCTGACAAGTCACGGGACAGACCCATGTTGACTGACTCACTGACAGGCGCACCACCTGGGCTCCCCACTGCGATACCTTGCTCTGCCTTAGCCGCCTGGCACTACAAAGACAAAGATCCCCCGTATAGCCTTGACAGATTGTTGAGGCTGTTAGCGAGCACCTATGAATGCCGGCACGGCAAACGATGAGTGGGGGGGGGGGGGATATCCAACACCACGCCCGGCTACTTTTGTCTTCCCAGTGGCGATGTTTACGCACCGCACCGGCTACTCATTTGAGGCCGAGTCCACCCAGGGGGGGGGGATAATCGTCACTGATGTTGGCCTGAGCAGGGATCGAACTTGGATGGCCATATCCGCGGCGCAGCGCTGTCACGGCAACCCACCGTACGACGAGATGAGACAAAGATCCCCCGTATAGCTCTTAATATATTATTGGGAAAAGAGCTGTTAGCGAGCACCAATTAGATCCGGCGCGGCACAAAGACACACACAGACGTATTCGTAATGCGTTATTTTACGCGTTTTAAATACATTTTAGGAAGATTTTGAAATGTCTTAAGAAGCAAAACTGTTCGAGAAGAAGCTTTCGCTTAGCTCGGGGGTTTGGGATTTCCTCTCCCGTTGTTAGAAACTTGGCAGCGGTTGTTCTGAACGCGTACACGTGTTCATTTGTTGTGATTGTTACGTGTGTATGTTTAGATGTGTAGGTGTGTTTAGATATGCTTGTTTGTGTGTAGGGGTGTATGTTTTTGTCTGTAGGTGTCTGTGTATGTGTAGTAGTGTATGTTGTGTATGTGTGTATGTTGTGTAGTATGTAAATTGTAGATGTGTTTTACGTGTATATATGTGTAGTGTAATATCTTTGTACGCTTGCGTGCATATTCACGTGTATACGCCTACGTGGATATGCGTGTGCATGTGTACGGCCTGAATATGCGTTCGCTAACAATATTTTAACCTGAAGTCTATAAATGTTAAAGCGGGGATCTCTAAATATATAAACGCATTGTCAACAGCACCCTAAGCCGTGTATTGTTGTTGTTAATTGTATTTGTGCACAACTGCAAACGCAGCAGTGTGTTCGTGATCTATTATGCATATCACCGCTGCACGTGGATATGTTGTTGTGTACATGCTACTGGATACACCCACGTGCGTATATCCGTGTATACAAGACAAATATCTCACGACCATAACAGGTTTTATTTGGGCAAGTGCTATTCGCGAGTAACCTATAAAGGTCGGCACGGCACACGAGGGGGTGGGTTGCCAAGCACCACGCCCGACCGCCTTTGTCTCCCACAGTGGCGATGTTTATGCACGGCACCGGGTTCTCAATTTATGTTGAGTCGACCTAGGGGAAGGCCTACGACCAGTTAAGATAATCGTCACTTGCTATTGCCCGTGAGCGGGAATCAAACCTGGGTCGCACGTGTTGACCCCCCACCCCTCCCTATATATACACGTGCGGTGTATATATATATACAAAGATAAAGATCCCCCGTATAGCCTTAACAGACTGTAGGGGCAAGTGCTGTTAGCGAGTACCTATGAAGGCCAGCACAGCACACGAGGGGTGGCCAACACCACGCCCAGCCGCCTTTGTCTCCCCAGTGGCGATGTTTACACATCGCACCAGCTACTCATTTGAGGCTGAGTCGACCTAGGGGAGGCCCAAGACCGGTTCAGATAATCGTCACTGGTGTTGGCCGTGAGCGGGAATCGAACCCGGATCGCCAGGTTTGTAGCGCAGCGCGCTAACCGCTACACACACACGTACATTTACGCTAACCGCTACACACACACACGTACATTTACGCTAACCGCTACACACACACACGTACATTTACGCGTGTATGGACCAGGCCAGCGCCGAATCATTGTCTCCGAGAGCTGCATGGAAGAAGCGCCATGTTGATCGGCGCTCAGCCAAGTTCGGTCACGGGGGGCGGTGTGGGAGGGAGGGAGGGGCGCGCGGTATTTATCGATTCAAATTTAAGCCTACGAAATGCAACAATTTTTTTTCATCGCGGCGTATTCCACACTCGCCTACCGACAAGACGACGCTACGGGCCGATCGACCGAACGTGACCCAATCATTGCAACGCGCAGTTGAACGCGTCCATTCACAGACGCGCACGTACGGAAGACGCACACCACTCGCCTCTCACACGTCACACGTAGATCACACAACACACGTAGATCACACACACACCACTCGCCTCTCACGCATCACACGTAGATCACACACACACCACTCGCCTCTCACGCATCACACGTAGATCACACACCACTCGCCTCATCACACGTAGATCGCCTCTCACACACCACACGTAGATCACACACCACTCGCCTCTCACATATCACACGTAGATCACACACACACCACTCGCCTTTCACACATCACACGTAGATCACACACACACCACCCGCCTCTCACGCATCACACGTAGATCACACACCACTCACCTCTCACACATCACACGTAGATCACACACCACTCGCCTCTCACACATCACACGTAGATCACACACCACTCGCCTCTCACACATCACACGTAGATCACACACCACTCGCCTCTCACACATCACACGTAGATCACACACCACTCGCCTCTCACACATCACACGTAGATCACACACCACTCGCCTCTCACACATCACACGGAGATCGCCTCTCACACATCACTCGCCTCTCACACACCACACGTAGATCACACACCACTCGCCTCTCACACATCACACGTAGATCACACACCACTCGCCTCTCACACACCACACGTAGATCACACACCACTCGCCTCTCACACATCACACGTAGATCACACACCACTCGCCTCTCACACACCACACGTAGATCACACACCACTCGCCTCTCATACACCACGCACACATACACGCCTCGCCTTGTTCAGTCATCGTGATACTTATTTTGTTCTCGTAAAATTACGTGAATATCGAGTACAGTACGGTAATATAGGATTATTATTTTTATGATTATGGCCGGGGAGTACCTTCGCCTTTGCAGTGGTAGTGCCTTACGCCGATAATCCAAGCCAGCCGAAGTTATCAGCGCTCCTCAACATATCGAGCGAGAATGATGAAGCCCTCAATGCAAGCCTCATGTCCAACCCGTACCGCCCTACTTGCATCACGTAAATAGGGTTAGTGACGGTCCTACTCGGTGGCTGGAGTCGCTGTAGTATATTTGGTGTTAATCGCCGCTGTTGTTTCGTAGCCGTGCTACCATTTTACGCCTTCGCGAGGATGAGAATAATTACTCGTCGTCGACAGCGGACGACAGCGCTTGCGACGGTGTGCGTGCGTGCGTGGCGAGGGTAGGCCAGCCCTGATTTCTCAGGGCTCTGTGCTAGAGGGTAGAATGATGATGATGATGATGTTGTTGATAAATCGCACAGCAGCAGCAGCAGCATGGTTTAAGTGCTGGACCCTCCTCCTACTCCTCCTCTCTCGAGCCGGGCCGCGTGAGTGACGCGGGCCCCGCGCGCGCGGACAAAGCCCACGCGCCCGCGTGATTGACGCCCGTGAAAGAACCCGGCAGTTGTTTGCAAATCATTAGCAGTAATTATGAACTCGATCCACTCTCCCTCCTTCTCTTCTCTCTCTCTCTCTCACACACACTCACTTTTGTTTTCTTCTTCTTTTTCGTCCAGCATTTATTTGTTTGTAGGGAAATAAGAAAAGGGGCTCCCACGCATAATTCTTTGCTGCCGTATTGTGACAGCCGAGGCCCTGCCGAGCTGTAGAACGAGGGAGCGGAGCGAGCGAGCGAGCTTTGAGCGTCCGTCTGTCGCTGCGTACAGACGAGTTGATGCGCCTGATCGTGTGAGTCGCTCGTCGCAGCATGGACGTAGCCCGCTCACTTTATTACGTTATAGCCCAAAACTACATCGGCTTAATTCGCAATTCGTTTTTCAGTTCGTTTATTTACTTTTTGTTATTAACGTAAGATATTTTTTTGGGGGGGGGGAGGGTATTTCCATTATTTTGTCATCTCTGTAGGTCCATGCGATGATTCGAAATCGAGCTTGGCTGAACGCATAGATGTCGACACACGTGCAGCACAACCACAGCGCGCCTCTTGCAAATCAAACTTTGTACGTGCACCACCGTGACCTGAAATAGATTGACATAAACTCCCGCGCTGTGCTAACTAAAGTATACCACGACGTACTCATCCGTGTCCGTAATACGTTAACGAGACAAGAGATTTGAAACATCTCGACGAAATAAAACAAAAAATATTTCCGGCAATATCTGTTAATTTCAACACCGTTTCGTTCCTTTGATACCGCGTTGGGCAGTTACCGCATAGGCGCCACTGTGCTACGAAGGCCACTTCCCGAAACGTCGCATACTAAACGAGCGTTTCCTTTCAGGGCAGGCGGTGTTTATTGACGAGTCTGTTGCCTTTTGTTTTGTTTGCTCCAAGTGCCAGTTGTAGTTACCATCACCTGCGCAGAGGATACCTAACCCGCACCGAAAGCACTCGTCTCACTCGAAGAGCGCGCGTCGCCGGCCGCGTCGATGCGCATGCTCGTCCCGAGATCGCAGCGGATTAAGCGATGGTTGGGGGATACGTGGCGATGTCGCACCAAACGTCAACTGCGTGAAACGCGCGATTAATTGTTCAGAGCTAGTTCACTCGCCACGAAGGCAAGTTCCGTTGGCTGCTTATGTTTTTTTTTCCCTT